TGTTTCTTTTAATTTAATTATTTATCATTTATTTTGTGAATAATTTCTTCTTCGTCTTCAATAATTATAATTTATCCTACATTTAATTTGTAAATGTTTTTCAAATTTAACAAATAACCAATTGCCATATTACAATTGAAATGTTTATGTTAAAATATAATTTAAAGAAAAGGAAAAGGAAAATGAAAGGGTAAAAAATTATTGGAAAAACATTTTATGCATTTCATTTTATTAATCATTCGTTATTTTAAGCGTATTGATGCCAACCATTGAATTGATTTTCAACGTATATCAATTTTTTTGAAATAAAATAATTTCAGGTATTGTATGATATTTCACCAATTAAAGTGCACGATGATTTTCCATTCATTGAATTGAACAAAAAATTTTTTAAATTTTTTTTTAAATTTTTAAAATTAAAATAAAATAAATATAATTCGTTCTAAAGAAGCCGATAAAGCATATTTTTCCAAAACGAAATAATTCACACACATAATAATATATAATAAGAATTTTTGCAGTATATATAATATAAAATAAATTAATTGAAAAATAATTTATTTGCAGTAAATATAATATAAAATAAATTAATATGAAAATAATTAATTAATTTAAGAAATTTTTTATTTGACAAAAAATTGAAAATGCAAAAGATAGAAGTGAAAAATTTTTGACAGATATTTATTTATTTAATTGGGAATTGTTCAATTTTGAATAAATTGAATATTTGAAAATTATACAAAAGAAGTTTAATAATTATATGAAATATTTTGTGACGAATAAATTATCATAAACAATTGTATGATAATTTAATTAAATTAGAAAGATTTCAATTAAAATATCATTTTGAGATTTAGAAATAAAATGAGCTTTTCATACACAAAAATAAACATTGTTTAATTACAGTTTGTTTATTTAGCAAAAAGTTCTTTTATAATTTAAAGTGATGAAAATTTTATTGAAAATAAACCTGCCAATAATCCTTTTTTCCTTTACACAATAGCAAATATTATCAGAATAACAGATAGACTGACCGATCGTATTACTTAATTACTGATATTATGTGATAATAACATTTAGGAGCAATGAGTGGACAGTGAAAGATTAAAATAAATTGGCTAATTTAGGAATAAAAAAAAACTATCAAACAACTCCTTCAAATTAAATCGGATCGCTATTTTAGAACGGATCTTATTATTATTTATTCATTAGCATAATTGTATCACCGATATAAAATGAACAATAGAGGGAAAGTTTCGGTTTTATAATATGAAAAGTAATTGAAATCTATTGATTCAACTGTCCCAAAATTATTGCAAAAGAATAATTTTCAAGAGTAAATAATAACTTTTTGCGGATAAGATTAAATCATAGTTTATTTACTTTAAAATTCCAACACCTGCAACTATAATTAATTAATTAATTATGACACTATTCTTCTCCCACTTTTTCATGCTAAAATTCATAATTGAATTGTTGTCTTGAAATTATCACTTATCAATTAATTTTCATCACAATTATTTATCACTTCTTTCGCATACGAATATGTTCAATTCTTTCAGAAATATTCATTTTTTGTTTTTTTTCCCGTCAATCTTTACGTTCATTATCATTTTAAACGTAAGATTACAATATCAGTTGATCACGCAAACGTACATTTTTAACTATTAAACTTTATATAACAAATTCTCGTATCCTTTTATCATTGTTTCCGTATTACGTCATTCAGAACTTACATACTATTAATGTTCAGTTGACGTAATATACGCTACTGTTCAGTTTAGGAAAAGGCCTATAATATCAGTGATTTTGCCTAACGACCAAATTTTTATCACGTAAATTGCGTAAACAATTTTGATGATAATCATTTGTAACTATAAACAAACCAGATCACACATTCATTGTTGCAATTTTATTTATTCATCATTGATTATTTTCAACTTTTAAAATTATAAAAATTTGCAAATTATATATTTTCATTTTGGATAGATATTTCTCATCGTCGATATTGAAATAATAACCTGCAAATCTCTGAAACAAATAATAATTTCAACAAAAGTAAGATAACACTCGATAATACTCACATATATCTCCCTTTAATAGCTAAACAATCAAATCAAAACAATTTTAAAATTAATTATCATTTATCTTAACAATATAAAATAATTATCAAAATTCAAACAAGCGAGTAATACATATAATTTCAATTATTTTTTCAATTAATTTAAATAAAGTATTCAAATAAATCAATATATTATTTGATGGATCGTTACAGTTTTAAATTCAAATAAATCTTTTTAACATTTGATAAAGCTATCTGAAATTATTCAAATAATATTTAAAATCTTTTACTATATGTGTAATTTAAATTATTATCATTATCACTTAAATATATCATATCATATATTGAAAATATTTATACACCAAATGGAAACATTGTTACCATATGTTCAAATACAGTTGAAAACATCTGCAAATATTATATGCTATTAAACGAGAAACAAACGAATACTTTCACTAAAAAATTTGTAATGCAGAAATTTGCATATTTCTCGATCATAAAAATACGCATTAAAATTATGACAAAATTATTAGAATTAATTGAAAATGATTAATTAAATTGATAACAACAAACAATAACAGTAAATCAATCTCTTTGATAGCTTAAAATAATAATAAATTATTATGCAAAACAAAAGAAAAAAATGTTATCAGAAATTGTCTTAAATTAAATAAAAAGCAAATTTTCTACAATAAGAATTTAGTAAGCAATAGTTAAGAGAATATTTGATTTCTTTTTTCATTCATTTAATTCTTTTAGTATTAATTATATGTAAGCAAATGGAAAGATAAAAGAAATCAAATCTAAAAATAATAGTTAGCATATCGTCGCCGAATTTATAATAATTAATTTTCTTATTACAAATTATAAAACTTGTTTTTTTCTTCTCCTTTATTATTCAATTCTTGTTAGTTTTGAAAAATGACCACTGGCGATTAATTGAACAAATATATAATGCGATAACGTGAAATAAGAATAGGATGTTGTCGATTTCGATCTCATCCGCATGTTACATACACATAAATAGTTAATAGAATAGATAAGAAAAATGATCAAACATCTATTTTATCAGTAAATCACTTCTTCTTCTGCTGATAAAAAAGAATGAATTCATCCTGTCAACAGTGCATTAATTAACTTTCGTGGTTTTTAACAAATGAATTAAAAAAAGACTAATATTTCGACGTAATATTTCCTATTTCGTAGTATATCCTTTTGCTTTCTGATATCAAATAGCTATAAGAAATAAATAACAATAGGTTATATGATAATAATAATAATAATGATAATGATAATGAATTTAAATTACAATAGATAAAATGACTGTAATAATAATGATAATGATAATACTAATAATACTCATAATAATAACAACAATAAAATGGTTAAGAATTAGGAAATTAAATTATCAATGAAGCATTGGTTGTTTACGATAACGTTATCACTGTACGAAACACGATGAATAGAGCAGAAGTAAAAGATTGATTTTCATTTTAGATTCAAGAACTGTCAGACTTCATTTCAACTAAAAATCTCGGCCAACGACCCGATCGTTATGACCGACTGTTTGCCAGTTGCAAATATGTTTGATAATGTGATCGCAAATATCAAAGATAACAGTGGAATAGAAAAGTGATAGGAAAGTATGATGTAATGATGATAAGGAAACAAATGAGTTAGGAAAGTAGAAATTTTGAAAATTTCCAAAATCAATGCTATACGATAAACCTATCAGTGTTATTATTTGATGTTAAGATAAGCGATTAGAATGATATATTATATCATTATCTTTGTTCAATCTTGATCATAAGTTGAGGTAGAATTTAAGGATTTCAGAAAAGTACAAAGCAATCAGAGAAAAAGGAAAATGATAATTTCATATCTTAAAAGATTTTGTGATAGCATCAATTATGCATATCAAAATATATGCATAGTTTATTTGATACTATGATAAACATAATTACGAGTGAAAAAAGAAATTGCAATAATAACCAACCTGTAATAATAATAGCGAACCTGTAATAGAGATGGTATTTGTAATGGTAATAATGGAATGAGTTATCAGAGAATAATTGATGATGAATTCGTAGTTAATAAAATGAAGGATAGCCTAGAAGGTCCTGCCTGTAGAGACGAGCTTATTTTGATTCAAACAGGTCAGATAAACCCGGATCTACAGGGTGAACCATCCAAGAAAATAATGAGCTTCTTCCATGATAGATAAATTATTTCGTCTTCATGCGATCAATTCAATATATCATTTAGTAATCATTCAATTTTCATCCAATTAATTTAGGACAAAAAGAAAAGATCTGAAAATTATTTATAAAAAATTATTATATTAAATCAAATAGTAAATGAATGCATAAATATTCAAACCACGAATAATTCACTAAAAAAAATATTTCTTGTCGAAAAATATCATCAATGATATGAGAAATAATGAAATACTAAAATTTTGTAATTCTATCACAGCGAAATTCTCAATCTCTTAGGAAATTTTAAATTACATAAAGATTGAAAAAAACAATCCCGCATATAGTAATCATATCATATCAGGATAGTAATCATATCATATCAGGACATATCATATCCTGATATGATATGGTTGCAAATTTGATTGATTTTTTTCTGTTCAATAATAATACATACGGAATTAAATAATCCGGAATTATTAGAAATTTATAATATTTCATGAATGAGATATACAGGAACTATTTATTGGAGCAAATTAATGTTCAAATTATAGCCAATAACAGTAAGAATAAAATATATCTAATAATTTGAATATAAAAGAAAATGATTGATCGATTGATTGATTGATTATATATTACTATTATTGATTATAACTATAGTTAGACAGATAAGTTTGAAGTGATCTAATAAGCTAATAAGAGAAGTAACACTAAAGAAGAAACAATAAAAAGGTATGCATATAATGACTGAGAGCTATCCGTTTCATACACCGATACGGGAAGGAATCGTTCGACAATGCCGACCACTGTTGATAGCGATGCTGATGTACATGTATCCGTATCGGTATGTATCTATATGTACACATATATGTGTGTGTGTGTGTGTGGTGTATGTGTGTGTATGTATGTGTATGTGTCTGTCCAGCATCAATTTGTATGAAAAATGAATAAATATATATATAAATATGTTTAAGGGTGGGGGAAGTGGGAGGAAAGGAGTGTCTGCATGGCGCTGCACCCAAAAACTCTTACACAAACAGAGATGATATTTGTGCGGTGTTGGTTCGGAATATTTTATGAGAGATTGGATGTGAATTGCCTGGAAATCACCGCCTGGAATGAATGCATGATAGTATGCGCTCAACGTTGCGCGCTATTATATTCGATACGTTAATCATAGAATAAACGACAACAATGCCGACAGTGGAATGCGTCTCAACTTTTTTTTCAAATTTTACTATTTAAATACTAAAACTTTATAATCGATCGTCTTCAAGTATTAACTTTATAATCGATCGTTTTCAAGTATTATATATAATTAAAAATGTTATCATTAAAATTTCTGAAATGGACTCAACAAAGATTAGTATAAGTTAATTGCATTTCTTTTTAATCTCTTTAACTTATGTAATATTCTATTTAATATAGATAATGAATAAGTGATAATCACTGAATAATTAATTGGACAGTTATTGGTCAGTTACTGGTCATTGTTAGTTTATTTATCTTATAGCAGAAGGATGGATAATATTCATTTATTGGATAGTTTCATTTCCAGTTGATAACTTTTATTTTATATTATTTTAAATTCTCATCAAATACTCTCTCTCTCTCTCTCTCTCTCTCGATGTTTTTATTTATCATTTCTATCTGTCATTCTCGATGATATGATCAAATGGCAGCATATACTAATTAATGTTTTTTTATTAATTAATGCATTCTAATTAATGCGTTTATTCCATCTATTAGCTAAATGATAGCATGGACTTTTTCCATCGTTCTTTTGAAATGTCATTTTAAGATTTCTTTTCTTTTTACTTCTTTTTTGCTCTTTAATTTTATTTTTAATTTATTTAGGCTGGTCCTAAGGATTGGAAAATTTATTTGTTTCAAACAAAAATATACCCTTTGGACTAATATTACTTAAATAAACAACGAATGGAATTTTTTCGACGAATGTCTCATCTCATAAGCGGATGATAACGATGATGATATATATATTTGTTGTAGTAAATCGTAGAATTTGGTTGAAATTTTGATAATAACAAAATAACTTTAATCAATGCTTTGTTCTTTATTTTAATACTAACCAATATTATTATTATAGGAAGTCTTTCCTTTTGGAACTATTTACAAGCTAATTCTATTTTCATTTAAATGTAAATTTTGAATGTATCTGAAAGAAATGAGTCATCCCAAATACACAAGCAATTCATCAAAATGGACAAAAGGACGCATTCAGAATGTGACATCGTTGGAATGGATTTAAAGAAAGCTTTGAAAAGTACCATAAAAATTCTTGAAAATTTAATCGTATGCATCATGCATGATTGATTCTTCATTTCATTTAACAAATGATAGAAAATAAAGAAATCTTTTCCCTCCTCTTTCCCTAATCACTAATCACTAATCTATATCACTTCGAAGCTTTAGATTGCTTAGCAAAGACAAAACGATTGATGAGAGAACAGGAGCTCTCATTCTCATTTCTCCTCCCTATTTCCTTCATCAACTTCTCTATGCGCCCTCCAACAAATTCTTGACAGATCATATCTGATTATAATGTACGATGGAGAATGGTTATAATGGTGAATTTGCTTCTTCATCATCTTGCTACTCTTATCCCTACGCGAATTGTTCTTCCTCATATGATACTTATGGCGCTTATTCATTCAATGGATTCTATGGTACCTATGAATCAGGCAAATATTATCAACAATTACCGGATACAAATAATCAATATCATCATAATCAAAATCAATATCCACATTATTGTGCACTTGTTCCATCTACTTCCGATTATACTCATTTATTTTTTAATGGTACTATACCGAATAATTGCTCTCCTACAGCTACTACTGCTACAGTAAATTGTAATAGCAATGGTTACGGAAATGGAAATCGGATTATTCTTCAAAGACCGAAATATGCATGGATGTTGGAACGTGAAAAGAATCATCAACAATCACGTCATTTTCAGCAAACTGTTAGACCTACAACCGATACAGTAATCACATCACAAACAGGTAACATTCATGTGATTTTAAATTTGTAAAATTTTCTAATTTATTATAACATCAGCCAATAAGTAGTATGATTTATTTCATTTCAAATATTATTTATTGCTTATTATGAAAAATCTATTGGCTGATAAACTGATAACAAATCAATTAGTGTAATGGTAACCAAAGATACTATTTGAAATAAGCATTTGCAGAAGAAAAGAAACAATACATTACATCAAAAATAATGTATTGCAACAAATCACTTTTGTCATTCCTTTTTTTTTAAAAAAAAGTTGAAATTTAAAAATTTCAAGAGTAGCGTGACGTAATTTATATCTAATAGTTTGATCGTTGTATGCAACAATAAAATGTTCTGATCGTTGTATGCAACAATGAAATGTTCTGATCGTTGTATGCAACAATAAAATGTTGCTATATTTAATAGTTATCATTGAAAAATTTATGTAAAATCAATAATGTATAAATAAGCATATCAGTGAAAATATTTATTAAAATGAGAATTATATAAATTTAATAATTAAAAATATTATAAATGAAACTGTCAACAAAAATTCTATTCCTTTCATTTCGATTATAATAATAAATTAAAATTAATCTGTTAATAGGTAGCAATTATTATCTTTTCAGAGATTAGATTTAGTGTATAGTATTAAAATTCAATGATTGATTAATCCATTATCAGCCATATGATTGAAATCATATTAAGTATTCATATATTTCTTGGATAACAGGATAATTAATTAATCTTTATTAGCTTTATTATTCATTATAATAGATAGGAGAAATAAAAGTAATAACTGTTGCTAAAATCATCTCTAACAAATATGTTTCTGATTATTGACATTCTCTGTATGTGCGTGTGTGTGTGTGTGTGTGTGTGCATAATGTGTGTGCGTATGTATACAGGTATATATGTACAGGTAATAGTGTATTCCATAAGGTTATCTTCATAATACTGTTGTCTATATAAACACTCTCAATAGTCAATCTCATTTTATTAACATTCACAACGGTATATTCATCCTATTGAAGATATCGGCGCAATTTGGCCTTATCCCATTTGATAATTTGTTTAAAAAACTGTTGATCATCGATAAATGTGAAATTTCGAAAAATCATATAATAGTAAATTTAAAAGGAAATATATTTATTTATTTGAATTGATTAGCTTTTGAATAACAATTGAATAAGATAATGAATGGATTGTTATCAATTTTAAGAGGATTGATTATACAAAAAATTTACATTATAGTTTAGTTTAACCTTTGACCGTTACTTTAACCATTTTTTTAAAATTTAAATGACCAAGATCTCTCAATGAAAAAAAAAAGCTTTAAACATTTAGTTGGTTGTACAAAATAAGATATGTTATTGATAATTCATCATTTATCTCTTTGAACATTAAGTCTCTAATTTATCAATAAATTATTCTCTCTCTCTCTCTCTCCCTCTCTATAATCACTTAATTTCTAATATTCAATTTAAAAAATTAGATTTATAAAATATAATAAAATGATTTATTCTTTTAACTTTTAACTATTTGTATTGCTATTTCTTCTATTTCAAAATTTTACAAACATTAAAACTTTCTAAACACTCCATACTTCTAATATTACTAATGATAATTACAATTTTTGATCACTCTATAGATTACTGATTACTGATTATCTGATTACAAGAATGATATGAACCAATAATAATAATAATAGTAATACTAATTATCGCTTCAAACCGTTGAATTCTACAAAAATAATAAATTAAACGAATGAATGTGGCAATTGTAAAGAATTCGTTGGCAATACTTTTTCTTTGAGAGAGAGAGAGGGAGAGGGAGAGAGAAAGGGAGAGAGAGTTAAAAAGAAAAGGAAATGATCAATCATAAAAACTTCGTTTTTCACTTTTTTGCAACCTTTTCGTTAACTTTTTTCCAAAAAAAAAAGACCACAATTCATTCATTTCGTTAAAACAATGGAATTGAAATTTTCTTAATGCTAATAAATTTGTTGTTTTCTTATATTTCAAACAAAATAACTTAACATTTTATTTTTTGGAATGAAAAAATAGAAAATTTAAAAGAGAACATAATTTAACTAAATTTAACAAATCGTTTGGATAGGATTTTACATTTGTGAATTTCAATGGATTGCATGCAAATTATTGAAATACTTTTATTATTCCATTTTAATTGAAATATCAAATTGAAAAATAAGAGGGAGAAAGAGAGAGAGAGAAGTAAAGAGATATATTATAAATTTCATTTTAGTTCAAACTTTAAAAAAAAATTTTTTCTTTGTTTTAATTAAAATTTTTTAATTAACAGAAAGTTAATTTTTACTAAAAAGAATTAATTCAACTAAAATTGAAATTATTCAATGATAAAATTTCATTTTTCATTTTCTTTTCATTTCAAATCAATTTTCCAACCAACCATTCATCCATCATCCTTTTACTAACAATTCTAATAATGATGAATCACTTTTTTGCAACTTCAAACATATCACAACCATCTACGATTGTTTATACAAAAATGTAGCGGTACTCTTTTGAATGAGTGTTATCGTTTTACCTTCGAAATATATATATATACTGTTATCATTTAGATATATGGGCATATATTATCAGTTATATACTACTATCTATAGGCATATATATTGTTGGATATATACTACTGTTATAGATTATTTAATTATATTTTCAAAAATAGATATTTTGAAAAAAATTACGAAAATTTTATTTTTACTTAACATTTTTGATAAAATGATAAATAGTAGTTATTATAATAACAATATTAGTGTACTTTGAACAAATGATAAGTAATTATTTATTAAGAAATGATATCAGAATTATCTATTATGTTTACTGAATGTTTAAAAATACATTAATCAATCATTTATTATTGAATAGTTATAGTGAATTAAGACATGTGCTATTAAATTTAACGATCAAATGAAAAGTAATTGAAGGAAACGTTTATTTAATCTGTTAACACTAACATTTAATTTCATTCATTAATCATCAAAAGCATATATATAAGCTATCTTTTAAGTATAAAATTAGCTATCACTATGTCAACTTCTTCCGGAATCATATTTACATCGTTTTTTTTTTTTAAAAATATAGCCATTAAAAATTGATGGAAAATTTTCTACGGAAATAATTGAAATAAATCGTTAAATAAAAAATACACCGGTATATATTTCAGGTCGTACATCATATAGCACGCCACAAGTTGTAGAATTGGAAAAAGAATTCCGTACCAATCGTTATCTGAATAAGCAACGACGAAATGAGCTTGCCACATTGTTAGCGCTCACCGATCGACAAATTAAAATATGGTTTCAGAATAGACGAATGAAAGAGAAGAAACAACGACTAGCTGCTGCTCCACCAAACAAAACTATCAAAATCACTACCAATAGTACTACAGCTACTACTACTACTACAGCTACTACAACTACTACTACTACAGCTACAACTACTATTGTCGCTATTACTACCACTAGTAGCGCTACAACAACTATTTGCGCCACAACTGGAACAACTACTACAATTTCAACACAGTCAAGCAGTGATTTACGAAATAGTAGCAATGGTGTAGGAGTTGCATCTTTTTTACATACCACTAATGATGATTGTATCAGGGATCAGATTAAAACTGATGAAGAAAATAATGATGGAAATGATTGCGCCAGCTGCAGCGGGTAATATAATGCAGAAGGAGAATGAAGGGAAGAGAAATGAAGAAGGTAACATTAGTTGGAACAAGAATTAATGAAGCAATTAAAAGGGCATCCCTATATATCACTCCGAAATAATTTAGCTTCTTTACTAATTACATTTCAACTAGTCATTTCATTATTACTCACTAAACTATTAATTAATTTTAATTTAATTTCCCAAAAAAACAATAGATTAGTTGTTGGCTGTTTGAAAATTTAAACTTTTACACCTTTTTTAAATTTGATAATTTAAAATATTTCATGTTGTGTTGCATTTGTATCAAAAATTTTCTACATTTACATACTGTATTGTTATATATAATGGAATTGAATATATCGGAAATCGAAAAGAGAAAAGGAAAAAATAATTTTTGCAGAAATCGTTAATTTATTATTAAAATTCGAATTACAAATTAATTGTTGCATTAAAACAATCTAACTAATTAACTAATTGTTCAAATGTAATAATAGCAAACAATGAATTTCTCCTAAATGCTTCTTCTCTACCTCTGTTTAATAATTAATTATTATATTATGAAGTAATTCATTAGTGGAAAATTTGAATAGTTTTTTCCTGAATGCTTTCTTCAACATTTCCTTAATGCTTTATTACGGACGTATTAACCATTGAGTTTATTTTATTTTAATAGCAGAAAAATAAGAAGTTGAAATCGATCATATCATTAAAATCATTTCATTGATCACATACCTCATTATCACCAAGTATGATCGGTCTCTGATAGTTGTAAAATATTAAATTATCGTTAAGAATTAAAATCTTCATATTTTTTTGTTCAATTCAATAAATTAATACGTTTCGTTGCATTAATGATTTATTTCAGGTCTGATTTCATTTTGATTGCTTATTATCAGTTATCAATTATCAATTTTATCTTATCTTTTCTAGTCATTTTCATTGCAATCAAATTCTCATAGAATTTGTTTTATTTTTGTTTATTTTTTTAGGATGTCAAAAATGTTAATGCAAAATAAATAAAAATGAAATTTTCCCTCAATTAAATTAATACACAAACAGAAATTATAATTTAATTTTTTCCATCAAGGAAATGGCTAAACAAAAAATTATTTGGGAAAAAAACAAAAAGGAATTAATTCGCTGATATTTCTTAAATTGAAATTTATGATAGAATGAATGGGTAAATGATAGGAATAGGCTGATAAAAGGATGAATGATAGGCTGATAAAAGGAAATGAAAACAAAAATTTCAGATTGAATTAAGCCTTTTCTAACTGATAAGAACTTCCAGGTAATGAATGATATGTGGTGAAATGAAAATAAAAATTTCAAATTGAATTAATCTTTTCTAATTGATAACAGGTAATGTGATATGTGGATGATATTTTTAACTTCTATATCACACTTCTGTTAAGTTATTCTCAAAAAAAGCAATTGTAAAATTATTTGTTTGTTATTTGTCTATTTGCTGATATTTGTTTTGGTAAGAAATTGAAGCGGACGGAAGAAAAGAAAATATTTTTCAAAGAAAAACGAAATTTAGTTTTTTTGTTGAAATTTTATTTTCCTTCTGACTCATTCGTTAACTTTACTACTTCATCGAATTTTTATTGTTTGAAAGATTGAAAAAGAATTGATAACAAATGATTAGTTTATTTGAATAATTATCGTATTGATATCATATCGGCCAAATGATACATCATCAATTGAAAACCATTTTCAGAAGTCATTTGTCAACTTGAAGAAATCATAAATCGAAAATTAAAGCTTTAAGCCAAAGATGAATTTAAATTAGAAAAATTGATCAAAGTTTAGAAGCAATACGAAGGGAAAAAAAAGGGCCGCTCATATCTTCGGATATTAATCATTTCTAATTTTAATCAAAGTTTTTCTTATCACTTAATGATAAAGAAATGTTGCGATGTGATAACTGAAAATTTATGAGTAAAAATAATTTCAAATTTAATGATTCTCTTAAATATATTTTAATCATTGCAATATTTCAAGGAAAATGTTTTTTATAAATTTTTTTTTATAATCTAATTGATAATTTTAAATTTATCAATGAATGAATTTGATATTGTTATCATTTGATTTGTCTTATCAACAAAATTTTTCAATACATTTTGTTTAATTTGAAAAGCTATATAGCACATGTGCTTTTTGTTTTAAACAAATATATTTCGAAATATTTAAAGAGTTGAAAGGAAAAAGATGTAAGAGGTAGAGAGAGAGAGAGAGAGAAAGAGAGAGAAAGAAAAGAGTTTTTAAAAGTGTGATGAATTATGGTTGAGCGGTTGAGTGGAATTTCGATGGATAGAAGAAAGAACGGGAAAAGTTTGAGGAAGCCAAGAAATGTTTGAAGCAGCAATTGGTGCATCATAAATCATTAACTCGAGGCTTCTTCACTCCTATTTTCCATCATTTTCCCCTGTAACTTTTCCAACAATCAAATGTTACTTTCCTTGCTGAAATAATCTCTTTCAACTATTGGCAAATCCCTCAATTATTGACATAGTTAGTGTTTTTCATTGAAAATTTTATTAAATTAACAATGTTTCAATTTTAATTTTGATTAAATTAAAAAAATAAATATTTAAATAAAACATTTTAATTAATTAATCGTTGAAAAATTATCGCAAATTGTTGAAATTGTCGTATAAATTCAACGGGAAAAAAATAACTATCAAATTCAAAACGAAAATTTCAAAATCAAAATTCTAAATTTTTACGCAAAAATTTTTTTTCAATTGTTTACAGTGAATGATTTAAGATTTCGTTGAAATGATTTAATTGGAATTTTTAAATAATACAATCTTAGATTCCCCGTTGGCTAACTTCTACAGAATCTCAGAAGGATAACGAATTTTATTAAAATTCAATAAATTATGATCACGAAATTAACACAAGAATGTTATTTGTGCTGAATATGAAAAGGCGATACTTTCAATTTGTTGGAATATTATGAAATTTTAACTATCTCTAAATTTACATATTTCATATGGTTTAGTGAAAACTTAATAAAATCAATAAATTTCATTTTTAAATTTTAAAATTGTCCCGAAACTTTTTAAGTTCTATTTAAAATTAAATTAAAAAAATGGTACTTCTTTTTTTGAGCATTTCGAATGATTTCTGAATTTTACTGCGAAAAATTTAAATTATTTAAACTATTTAGGAAATTCAAATTGTACATTAAAACTGTTAAGTATCATCAAACTTAATTACAAAGACAATTATTGTATCATCAAAATTAATTAAATTAGAAATAATAGTTTATTTCACGAATTGTCGGCAAATGAAAAGGGTCATGACCTATAGAATTCTCGATCCATTTAACTATACGAAAGTAAAGTTGCTGAAAATGAACTTTGAATGCTGGAAAAAAGAATTGCTAATACATCATATCAATCATGTATAATGTGATTTATTAAGGCAACAATTGGCAAATAATCTGTTTTAAGTTAGAAATGTAAAAATAAACAGTTATGATTAGAATTTAATTGATAATGACAAGTTCAAAAATGATTTGACAGAAGCTTTTACAACATCAACATGTTGTATATTCTTGAATAAAATTTGACAAGTTGAAAATTGTCGTGAATTTTTAATAATAATTGATTTTAAAGAATTGTCATACAAAATTCTTTCATTATCATTGAGTATTTGAAATTTTATTATTATCATTAACATTGAAAATTATCATTGAAATTTTTTTTAAAAATATTATTGAAAAAAAGAAGAAAATCTTTTAATTATTTCATCGTAATTGAAACGAAAGAAAAAAGTTTGATAAATGATAGTATCTTAAAGAAATATTTACTATCACCAAAAATGGTACTGTACTGTGTGTATACGTTGCAATATTGATGGATAGCAAATACGCTCATTGATATTATCTTTTCACGATCGATCGATCTCTTCCATTAAATTTTAAAATTTTTGAAATTAAAATTTTTAGAATGATTGAAAAAAAAAGAAATAAGATGACGTGATAAAAATATAAACTATTGTTTACGAAATTGTTAAAATAATATTATTATCATATAATAGGCTAATTTATCACCATCATTCTCTTATCGTTTTTCGAATGTCATCATTTGATCCAATTCATTTGACAAGAACAAAACAAAAGAAAATTAAAACAAACTTTTTCAAATATCTTGGGAAATATTTAAAATAAAATTATTATCAAATCATTTGTTATATTGATTTTATCATACTTACAGTTGTTATTATGCAAATTTAAAATTTAAATTTTACTTCGTGCTGTTTTTCTCCTCAGTGAAAAGTGATATAACATATTGTAATAAATAAATGTTTATCATATCAACTGATTAAATTCTCTTATCAATAAATAGAATTTCAAATGGTTAATCCATCTAAAAAAGCATGCAATTCACAGAGAAGAAAAAATAAGCTTACCTAATAAAACATATATGTGATAAAGATGAAAAAGATGATAAGAAGCATATGCAATGTGATAAAGATGACAAGGATGATAAGAAGAAAAAAAGGTCAGTTCAAACTACCAAAAAAGAAACAAACTAAACTATAAATAAATGTTCCGGGAAAAACTCATAAAGTAACACGACAAAGTCTTGCTGCTGCTAAAACATTGATTCAATGTGATAACTATCGGTATCTTTATCATTGATAACTTAATTTGGTAATTGAATTGAAATAATTGAATGAAAAAAATTGAAAATATGTTATGATAATGATAAAATAAAGTCTCGCTTAACAGATTATTTTGCAATGTGCAATATTTGCTCGTCTTTTTTTGTGATAAGATTGATAAGACTGATCAATTGTAGAAAGTTTTAAAAATTATTTTTATCAAATTGATTTATAATACATAAGGAAGTTAAAGTAATTTTGATTGCTTAATTTAAATTCATTTTTATGTTTTTTATTTGAACTATGAAAACTTTTAAAATATTGATTGAAAAGGTCAAATTAATAAAAAATTCCAATTTACAGTATTCCATTCATGAAAAATCATTATT